TCTCATGCTCCTGGGTGATAAAGCCTCAGTTCATCTTCAGACTCCAGGGCCTACAGCATCTCAGGTCGTTGGCTTGGACCGATAGTGCCAGCATCCCTGGTTCTAGAGCTTGGAATTTGCACTTAGCCACACTAGTTCTCTCCAGTTCTCTGCCTAGAATGTGGTTTATCTTAGGACCACCCACCTTCCAAATGCCCGCTCCTAAATCACTTCCTCTCCCTCTAACAATGCATGTATTCATTTATATCTACATAGTTTACATACTTGGGTATATCATACATATTTACTTGTTTTATATATCTATATACATCATATATATATATATATCTTATATACTTATATTTATAGCATATTCTTATATATTTTGTGTTCTTATATACCACATATGGTCTTATCCATATTTATACATTCCTATACACATATACATATGTATTGTTGGTTGATTTCTACTCCTTACTATTTTGGTTCTTTGTTCTTTGGGGGCCCACCACCCAGCTCCCAACTAAAGACATGGAGACTTATTCTTTCTTATGAATGCCCGACCTTAGCTTGGCTTGTTTCTAGTAAACTTGTGTTAAATTATCCTGACTACTTTTGCCTCTGGGATTTTTCCTTTTCTTACTTCTGTGTATCTTACTTTCATTCTTACTCCATGACTGACTGTGTGACTATGTGGCTGTGTGCCTGTGAGGTTGTGTGTCTGGGTGGCTGGGTGCCTGGGTGACTGTGTGGCTATGTGGTTGTGTGACTGGATGGCTGGGTAACTATGTAATTGGGTGGCTATGTGGCTGGGTGGCTGTGTGATTGGGTGGATGTGTGGCTGGGTTGCTGTGTGATTGGGTGGCTGAGTGGCTATGTGGTTGTATGACTGTGTAGCTGTGTGGCTGTGTGGTTGTATGACTGGATGGCTGTCCCCTGGGGTCTTCTTTTCCTCCTTTTCTTGTTCCTTAATTCTCTCTCTCAGATTTCTCTTCCTATTATTCTCTCTGCCTGCAAGCCCTGCCTATCCTTTCTCCTGCCTTGCTATTGGCCATTCAGCCCTTTGTTAGACTAATTGGGTATTTTAGACAGGTACAGTAATACAGCTTCACAGAGTTAAACAAATGCAACATAAAAGAATGCAACACACCTCACATCATTAAACAAATGTTCCATAGCATAAACAAATGTAGCATATCTTAAAATAATATTCTACAAAACATATGTGTGTGCACAAGACATGTATGTTTTATATGTATGTGTGTGTATTTATACTGTATATATGTATATGTCACTCACCACTGTTCTGTGTTTCAAAGGAGGCTACCTAGGTAGGCAAAAAGACTTTGAGACAACTGCTATGTATCCACTTTGACTAATACTTCACCCCCACTGATAAAGACATACAGCCACTGAATTGAGCTCTATTTTTGTCCAGACTCAGGTTCAGCCTTAGACAGCCATGTTTGGGATTGTGAGCCTGTGGATCTGCATCCTCTTTGCAGGCATGCACAGATAAGGTGAGCCTTAGATGTCCTTTGCACACCAGAGTCCCTTCAGGTTCCCGAGTTATGTTCATTTTGAAAGAGAAAGAGAAAGTGCTGACATATGAACTTGGGATGACTCATTTCTCCTCATTGCACTGAGACCCTCTTTATTCTTTTCAAACTTGTTTGGCAAGACTTAGGTTTACACAGAACCCGCCTTTTCCAGGGCATACAAGTATAGTATTGTCTACAACAGTGCTTCCTAGAGCTACAGAAAGCTTTCAGATCTGCCCAGCAACAGCAATGGCACTGTCTTGCTTAACTGATAAACAGAGACTATGCTGACTCCTTTGCATTGATATTTTAATATCAATTTTCTCAATCCATTTTTGTGAAAAATCCTTATTCTGTACATGAAGAAATTAAGAATCAGGAACTTGCCCAACGGTAACACAGCAAACATCTTTGAACAGGACTCAAATCCAGACCGATGTCACTCAACACCCAGTTTCTTGGTCACTTCTTCCACTGTTCCAGCAGCCACTTTTCTTTCCTGCTCTAACAGAGGCCACCCAGAAGACAGACAACGTCTCTGTTACTATCAGCTTCCTCAAGGCAAGAAAAATGGGCACAGATTCCAGGAACTTGTGGCCTGGGATCAGCAAAAGTAGAGGAAGCAGCAGACAGGGCCCCCAGGTGATGAGAACAGTCTGAGGGCTGTTGATATACAGACAAAAGCTAGGACCATTTTCTAGCCAGGCCAGCTGCTGACACCCTCCCTGTTCCTTCTAGATGCTGAAGCTTTAAGGAAGAGAAGCCAGCACGTACTCACTTGCTGCATGTATCCTTAAGTACTACCTAGTCACCAGGGAAAGCTGTATTTCTCCTCCTTCCACTTGGGAAGATGACATTGTGTTAGGATAATTATGCATCACCCTTTGATCTGTCTCTATCTACAAAGCATAAACATCGTCAGCTGGTGATGTCTGACTGCTTGGATATTTCAGGTTTATGCTTTGAATAACACAAGGCTTGGTTGTTCACATCGGTAAATAATTTACTCTAGTCTGAAATAAGAGCTCCAGGCAAGAAACATCAGCTCAAACACAGGCAACAGCAGTAGGAGAGCAAGCACACTGCTCTCTGAGAAAGGCTTTTCCAGATCCACTGTTGCAGGGAGGGAGGGAGGAACAACAGCCTGCGCATCCACCAAGCTTCTTCTGGCTGTGGCTCAGTCTAAAGGCTTTGGCAGCATCAAAACAGGCTGGAAAGGGGGTGTCAGTTGGAAGTATGGAGAGGAGATGCAAGGGCTACAGGATAGTCCCTTCAGACTTTATGCCTCAACATTTTCTCAGCCCAAGCACTCAACCATACCTACACAGAGGAGCAACACTCCTTTCTTACCTTCCTTAAGAAGCCGCTCCTCTGATGCTGAAGAAATGGCTCAGTGGCTCAGGATGCTTACTGCGTTTGCAGAAGCCATGGGTTCCTAGCATCCACATGGTGGTTTACAATTCTTTGGCTGTCATTCCAGTTCCAGGGGATTTGGTGCAATCGTCTGGCCTCTGCAAATACCAGGCACACCAGTAGTGGTGCACTTACATACATGCAGAGGAAATACTCATACATATAAAATGAAAGTAAATAGATCTGTTATAACACCCACAGTGAGCATCAGGACGGCAGAATAGTGAGAGAAGGAAGCATATGCTCTGATTACCTGGTGTGGGACAATTCTGTCAATTATATTTTAAATAAATGTTGATTGTCCAGAATCAGGAAGGACAACCAGACAGAAAGTAGAGGTGGGGTGATGAGAACAGGAGAATTCTGGAAAGAAGAAAGTTTATTCTGCAATCCTGACCCAGTCACAGAAGGAGCAAGATGTGACTGCCTCGCTGAATAAGGTACCAAGCCATGTGACTAACATAGGCAAGAATAATGGGCTAATATAAGTTATAAGAGTTAATAAGAAGTCTGAGCTACTAGGCCAATCAGTTTATAGTTAATGTAGACCTCTGTGTGATTTCTTGGGGACCTGGTGGGACAGAAAACCTCAGGCAACTGTTACCTTTTTACTTGTACCTGAGGCAGAAGAGATGGCAACACTCGGGGTTTCCTAGGCTTTGGGAGTTGGTGGCTGCTTCCTGAGCCAGAAGGCAGGGTCTGCAATCTGCTGTAATTGAGTTCAGTCCACAGAAAAGTGTGTAGAATGGACAAGAAGCTGACACAATGCATGAACACGTTATCAGTGGCTGCTGCTGTGAAGGGTGTGGCGGCTCAAGGCAGCACCGCCTTGTTATCACATAAACATGATCTCAGTGTCTTGGGTGATGCTGTATGATCCTGAAGATCAGGAGAATCACAGCATGCCTCTGTGATGAATGCAACCCCATTTGAAAAAGAATCTGCCTTTTTCAGACAAATCTTTCCTAAAGTGGGAAGAGAGTCAGCTGACATCACTCTGTTTGATTGGACCTCACTATACAAGAGGCTGAGATGAGAAACATTCAAACATCAAGGAAATAAAAAGCTTCATTGGTTGGTGACATCTACTTGGGATAGACAGGAAGGAGCAGCGTGCTGTGCTATTTGCCTGCAGGTTTGAAGACCAACATCTGGTATAGACTTTTGGAAAGTAATCTCTCTCTCTCTCTCTTTCTCTCTCTCTCTCTCTCTCTCTCTCTCTCTCTCTCTCTCTCTCTCTCTCTCTCACACACACACACACACACCTACTCAGTATCAATTGATGTGAAATAATCTATGAACATGTAGTGTAGTTGAAGGTAGAAACAAATAAATGTTCAAGCCATCTCATTCTCCCTCTCTGTTCTGTAGAAACCAAGAGTCCTGAGAATTCTGTTCTTTTCAGACCTCTCAGGACAAACTCAGCGGCATCCCGAGTGCTTCAGCCCGGGAGTGGGAAGCCCAGATGAGGACAAGAGGAAAAGCCCCCTCCCTCACGTAATGCCTGACTTACTTCAGATGGTCAAGGGTTGTGTGTTCCGGTGTCAAGAGCAGCTGTACACCGCTGCTGTTTCTGCATAGCAGTGAAACATTCACAATATTGTTGACGGCTGCAGAACAGGGTGTTTTCAGGACCAGTCAGAAGGAAGCCATCAGAACAAAAGAGCTCAGGGGGCAGTGTGTAGTGCTAAGCCAGCAGATGGCAGAAGGAATGTCTGCAGTTCCTCCTCTGAGGCCAGAAGCCTGGACCGCTAATGGCTCCGTACTCCTAGGAGGAAACTGAACACTGCAGTTCCCATCCATTGAACTCTAAACAGTGATGGATATCTCATTTCAGAGTCTCCATGGCTGTGTTTTTTTTTTTTTTTTGAATTTAAATGCACTTTATTTTTAGACAACCTACACGACATGTTTTTTCTTTAAAGAAAAAAATAAAGGAAAAGAGAAAACCAATGTCTCCACTCCAGATAAATCATGGTCAAAATAAGAGCTCAAGGTGACATCCGTCCCATTTGTCCTAAGTCCTGGTGTTGTATGGATGGGAAGCAGCAGCCGGTTATGGTGACAGGTGATAGATCCAATTTGTTAACATTTCTCCATCTCTAGGCCATCCTTGAAGAAAATCATGTATGGAGTCACGCCATCTTCACGGTAGTCCAGGAGAGCAACCATGCCATCTGGATTCATGTTCTCACCAATAAAAAACTGGTAGTTATTGAAATTAGCAAGGAGGTGCTTAATTTGCTCTGGAGCCCCAGTCATAAAAGGCTTTACTCTTTCTGGTTTCTGTTCTTCAAGTTTGCCTTTGAGTGATTTCATGTAATCTTTGATGTACTTTTTGTAGGCCTCTTTTGTGAAGCTGGTTTCTTGTAAGTGGTGGTTCATGACAATGTCAACACCAGTGACTACTGTGCTTTCGGTACCTTCGCCCTCTGGGCCTTCAGCGGAAGCATTCCCACCAATGAGCGAGTCATCGATGTTACCCTCTGTTCTACTGACCATCTTGCCCTCCACCTCCAGGCACAGCCCGTCTGCTATCTCCCGGATCTTGTAGATGTCGGAGAACAGCTCGTCATGGCTGATGATGTCCCGGTAGATGATCATGGTGGCGTCTGGGGACGGCGGCGCTAGCCTGACAGCGCGGAGCGAGTGCGGTGCAGCCGGAGCTGCGCTCGGGGGGAGGGGTGAGCGGGGAGCGGGCGGAAAAGCGGCTGTGTTCTTTATTCTGACAGAGAATCTATGTTCCTTTTTCAATGTGTATTTTTAGGTCCTAGTCCTAATTCCAGCAATTAGTGCTGGGGTGAATAGGGGCATTAATGCCATTTCCACTCTCCCCTTACTAGAATTCTTTGCTGAAGGCTGACTACATAGAGAGGTGGCCCACTGTGTAGATTATGTCTAATATGACCCTCACACCCCAATTTAACACCTACACTTCCCCTATCTGATCCCTAAGTCATACCTTAAATGACAATGGAAAGATTTACACATTTTAGGATTTCTTTAAAATTTGAAGTTTATTATTTACTTATCTTTTCCTAGCAGATGTTGTGGGTTCTTACATCTCATTCCTCTGGGAAGAGAGATTCACTTTCCATTGGTTCCCAAATTACTGGAGTCTAGTGAGACACAGCGCCCCTATGCATGCTGCAGGACATTGATTTAGAACACATTGGTAGTAAGGGACCAGTGAAAAATTCCTGATGAGCCTGGACTCTGGAGTAGGTGGACTCTCCTGTGCACACCTGACTTGTACAGTAGCTGAGGGGTTTGGGAAGCAGCGCACCCTGAGTCTTATGCTTCATGGCAATGGAAGTCACTCAGCTGATGAATTGGGCAACATTGAGTTTGGGTGTGGCGGGAACTGAACCAGAGCCTACTCTGCTCCAGTCCACTCTTTTCTGTCTCCAAATATTGCATGCCCTGTGTGCTATACAGTTAGCCCTGGGAACTACAACCAAGAAATGGAGGCAACTATGTGGAGGCTCAAAAATGTGAACCTATTCCACCTTGTCAGAAGGTCAGAGAGTTTGACCTAAGGTGTGGTTGCTTGGTGTTCAGGACATTAAGATGGCCCAAAGAAGTAAGTCCACTTTACCTTGACCAAACGAGAATTCAAATATACTTCTGCTCCTTTTTTTGAAATAGGAGGTTTGATCTAAGAAGTAGGGTCAGGATACTTGGTCTAGGGTGTGTTCACTGCCTACACAACAGATTGTTTTTCTCAAGAAATAATAACTTGATGAAGCATAACTGTTCTGGTTGTCCTTTGTATCATGTTAAAGCAGTCTTTTGCCTTCTTCCCTATTTATATTGGGGTATAAAAGTGTATGGAAAATTACACATGGGCAGACTCAGAATTCAGAAGTCAGAAGAAGAATTCAGTATGCAAGAGGTGCTGAGTTGCCCTCCCGATACTATCCTGTGTCTCTGTAATTCTTTCTTATCTCTGTTCCTCATACCTAGCATTTCTAATCCTCGTGCCCTTACCCTGGAACGTGTGAACCCACAGTGGCTAGGATGGTGGCAGAAGTCACCCCCAAAAGGTGGCACACAACACAACTAGATGAGGCCAAGACCACTCAGAGAACTGTCATGTATACAGGGCCCAATTCTTTCTTGCAGCTGAGTCTCACCTACATAGTCCCAGTTCATTCCAGTCACAGTATGTTTCTGTCAAGATATTTTATCAAGAAATGGTCCTAACTAACTCCTGCCACACATGGGTGGAATTTGGAAGTGCAACAAGCTTGCAGCAACAGCTCAAAGTTCAGCCAATGGAAGTGAGTCCCTGCCTTTGGCTTTTAAAGAAACATTCTGGGCTCCATCCTGCCTGACTCCTCAGAAGGATACCCAGAGAGATGTCTCTCTTGCTCCCAGCAGTAGCTACTTGTGCCTAAGCAGCCCATCCCACACTGCTCTACTTGACACACACCTCAGGCATCCCCTGGTCTATCATCTCCTGACAGTTTTCCCTTCTTACATCCTGGTATACCTTCTGTTTCATACTAATGATTTCTTGGTTGAATGGACCTTCATGTAAACCCTTAGTTTCTCTATGTATGAATGTATAGATTCACATATAATTGTTCTATATTGTTTATCATTAGTAAATACATATTAAAAAATTATGAGTGTTGAAGCCAGAAATGCTGAATGTCACATTTCATTCAGCTTTCACTGGCTAGTTTTGTGGCACTGAGAAATCCACTTAATGTTTCTAAGCCTTGGTTCCACATCTGTGAGGCACAGATAGACAGTTTCTGTGTTGTAGATTTGTGGGGAGAGGCAAAGGAGATAATGTCCCATGTTAAGACATCCTTCAGGTTTCTGCTGTAAGTGTTTGACATTCTTTATTAGCTGCAGCAATAGTTACAGCCGCAGTGTTAGTAGTGATAGCAATAGTTACAGCTTATCTAGGTACATTGCTTTAATCTTTAAGGTAACTTTACCACTACCTCATGAATCCTGGCTCCAGTTCTCACTGTATTGTCTTAGATATAATACCTAGCCTCTCCACTGCTTTCTATACATGCAAACACTAACAAAAACACTTCATGAGGTGTTTATGAACTGATGACTGTTGGTGGAAGGCTGCTTGTTTGTCCCAGCTGCCCAGTTAGCTTAGCCCTGAAATAACCACACAGAAACTATATTAATTAAATCACTGTTGAGCCATTAGCTCTAACATATTGGCTAACTCTCACATTAATTTAACCCATTTCTATCAATCTATGTATCACCATGAAGCTGTGGCTTACTGGGAAAAAATTGGCGACTCCATGGCTTCTCTCCCTGACTCTGCCTCCTTTCTCCCAGCATGCCATTTAGTTTCCCCGCCTACCTAAGTTATACCCTATCAACAAGCCCAAAGCAGTTTCTTTATTAACCAATAAAAGCAACACAAAGAAAGAAGGACCTCCTACACCAGATAACTTGTATTTGAGATTACAAAGTATGTGGTACAAATGTGGAAGGCATCCTAACTAAAGTAATAGGAAAATATTCAAAAGAACCTCCTGTTATTGCAATGTTTGGGCTCTCTTGGGGCCAGAGGGTTCCCCTGTCAGCCTCAACCTATTCTGACACTGGTGTGCAGGCTTCTCTCTGGTCCTCTCTTTCACGGGTTTCACCTTCCCCACTCTCTTTCCATTGCTCTCATTTTTCTCTCCCCAGGGCAACAGCAACACTGAGGTCCATTTTCTCACTCTGAACTGCAGTCTTTCATTGCCGCTCTCCCCCAATGCCCCCCAAAGTCCAGATACTGATTTTCTTCAAACCTCAAGTGACTTCTTGGAATTTTCCTCAACTCAGAGTCTCTACTTGCAGGAGGAATTCTATGCCAAAGAACAACATAACCGGAATTTTCTCTGCAGGTTCTTCTTGTACTGGCATTAGATTATTATCCCTTTCAGAAGAAGGGCGCTTTAGTCAGTGCTCTATTGCTGTGAAGGGACACAGGACCAAGGCCACTCTTATGGAAGTGTTTAATGTAAGGCTCACTTACAGCTTAGAGGGCTGCTCTGTTGCTATCATGGAAGAGCACGGTAGCATGCTCAGTGCTAGAGCTGCATCCTGACCCCTCGGCAGCAGATTGAGACACTGAGCCTAGTGTTGGCATTTAAAACTTCAAAATCCACTTCCTCCAGCAAGGCCACACTTCATCCAACAAGGCCACTCTTCCTCTAACAAGGTCACACTTACTAATTTTTTTTTTTAACAAATTCCACTTCCTGGTAATTGTGCATTCAAATATGTGAGCCTGTGGAGGCCACTCTTATTCAGTCACAAAGAGACATGTTTTATCAGGCTTAGAAACCCACTTAAACATTCCTCATCCATGGGGCTAATATTCTGTGGACTCTGGGTACACAGAAATGAGGAAAATATGTTTGTGAGCAGAGGGTGAGCATGTGAGGTCAAGCAGGTAGGGAAGCACCTTGTCTACATTGTGTTGATATCAGTGTAGGCCTAGTAAGAGACAGAGCAACACTGTGTCCACACTAGACTGATATCAGTGTGGGCCTAGTCTCCTTCTCTGAAATATAATTCCCTGGAGGAATTTTTCTTGAGGAAGAAGGACTATGTCTGTTCTGTTTGTCATTTTATCCTGGGCACTAACCAAAGCAACAAACACCTAAAACAAGTCCAGGAAACATTTGCTGACGGGAAGAATGATAGACAGAATGGATTGCAAAGAGAGACAGTGATGGTGGCGAGGGTCGGGAGGCCTGGCAAGACACGACTAGGAGAGGTGACATCTGACCTTGAGTAGAGAATCAGGAAGGTGGTGAAGACCCATGAGAATAACACATGAGAAAAAAACAACAGGCCAGGAGGAATGCACTTGGTGTAGTGCTGGCCTTGCAAATGGCCTGCAGACACAGTGACAGCAAGACATGGGGAGAAGCAAGTGTGCCTCCTGAAGGTCACTGGCCAGTTGCTAGCCTGCTCTGTGGTTACAGACCAATGAGAGAACCCGTCTCAAAGAAACGATGAAAGGCACTTGAGGAAGGGCTGCTGAGGTTGTAGCCTGTATTCCACACGTGTGTACATAGACACACACGTAATCACATGCAAACAGAATAAACACCAAGAAGCAAAACAAACCCGACTACACAAATCCTTGATAATCCACTCAGACCATCAAAATGAGATCCTTATTGCTTAACACACAGTGATGGGTTTGGGATGCCTTTGACACCTGCCTGAGCTTCCTCTGTAAGAGCCCTATATGCACAAGAGATCCTTAATGAAATATGATATAGACGAGAATCTGGGGAGGGAGAAGCAATTGCCTTTGATGTACAGACTGCAAGGAGGAGAGAAAAGCAATTGTCTCTTTACCTTAGATGTTAGATCCCAGAAAGACAGGAGACACCCTGAGAAAACAAAGAGGCAAATTTAGAAGGAGCAACACAAAATGCTCCTATTCAGTATTCACTCAGCTTGCACAGTTTGTGGGGAGTGTGCCTTTCAGTGAACATGCGAGAGGGTTCGTTCACCCAAACATAATTATCACCACTCAGTATTGTTATTCGCAGACAATATATCATATAGACAATATTAAACTGACAGTACCCAATTATAACCAACTTGTGGAATATTTTTATTAAGGAGACAATTTGATAATAAGCAGCATCTGAAAGGTTGTTTCCAATTTCATTTATTCTTAGATGAACTTCGGG